TGACCCCCAGGGGTAGGGCGGGGCCACAATAGGGAATCCAAGTTTTACATTGAAATATATAGGAGAAATCTTTAAAAATCTTCTTCTCAAGAACCACTGGGCCAGAAAAGCTGAAACTTATGTGGAAGCATCCTGGGGTAATGTAGATTCTAAATTGTTCAAATCATGACCCCCAGGGGTAGGGCGGGGCCACAATAGGGAATCCAAGTTTTACATTGAAATATATAGGAGAAATCTTTAAAAATCTTCTTCTCAAGAACCACTGGGCCAGAAAAGCTGAAACTTATGTGGAAGCATCCTGAGGTAGTGTAGATTCTAATTTTTTCAAATCATGACCCCCGGGGGTAGGGCGGGGCCATAATAGGGAATACAAGTTTTACATTGAAAAATATAGGAAAAATCTTTAAAAATCTTCTTTTCAAGAACCACTGAGCCAGAAAAGCTGAAACTTACGTGGAAACATCCTCAAGTAGTGTACACTCTAAATTGTTCAAATCATGACCCCGGGGATGGGGGGGGGGGGAGGGGGGGCACAATAGGGAATCCCAAGTTTTACATTGAAATATATAGGAAAAATCTTTAAAAATCTTCTCAAGAACAACTGGACCAGAAAAACTGAAACTTATGTGGAAGCATCCTGGGGTAGTGTAGATTCTAAATTGTTCAAATCATGGCCCCTGGGGGTAGGGCGGGGCCACAATAGGTATTACAAGGGGGGAAGTCTGGTAATAAACAGCATGGCCAAAGTTACTCAGGTGAGCGATGTGGCCCATGGGCCTCTTGTTATTGTTTCCATTCTTAGCTTTCAAGTTACCTATATATATCCAACTTCGTTAAAACAGAAGTTGAAGAAATTTTTGCTCAGTCTATTCACATAATTACTATTTTGCAGGAGGAAGAGAAGAAACAAAACGCACCCCTGACAGCTGAAGAGGAATTGGCAGAAAAGTTATGCAGGGAGAAAATTCAGAAAGAGGCTGATTTAAAGCTTGCCAAAGAGGCTTTTGGTAATATTCATATCTAAAACTTAAATGAGTTTTTGTTTTTCAGCATATGTTTGAAAGAAATCTTTCTTATTGTAAAGGAGAATACTAGGTTATGGTTCATATGATAGTATTGTAATGTTAACATAAAATATAACATATTAATTTATTTTATCATTTTTAAAACTTTCTATCATCTGATACGTTGATATTTCTGCAGGAGTTGAAGTAACAGGCATTGACACAATGTACCCAGAAACCGAAGAAGAATACAACAAGTTTGAGGATGCATTAAAAACAAAAATCTCATTTTTTGAAGTATGATTACTTCTAGATGTATATCAAAGTATTTATTTAAGTTTAATTATCTTCAAATTTTTCAATTTTTGAAAGGTTTTAGACCACTTCCTTCAACTCCAATTTTCTTTTTTTTTGTTTCAGAAATCCAAATATTATGTTCCATTTTTAGAAAAATTATTCACAGATTTAGTTGTTTCATGTAAGTGCATTTATATATATAATTTCATCAAAACCATTCCTTCAAAGATTTTAAAATTATTGACCACTTGTATTTTTGTAATAATGTTTTCAATTCGTATTAAAAGTCAAACTGATATTTTGAACAATTTTACTTGCAGTAGAATGTGAGGAAGTGAAAAAGCTTGGTGCAACTCTAAACACAGTATTTCATGAAAAACAGAGGCAACAAAAGGTACTAGAATCTTTTCTCGCTGATTTATGTAATGTTAGGTTCTTGCCATTTTACATCTATCTTGAATAAAACTTAACAAAACAATGTCATTTAATAGAGTAATATCATCGTAATATTTTCTGTCAACAATGGCATGGTTTCACATTTCTGTGGGGGGTATGCGATAAAATTTTATACCCATGAATTTCTAATTTTAGCCTTGTCATGATAATTTACTCTGACAAATAACTGAAACAATTTTCGAATAAATAAGCTTTAAGTATTTAATTTCTCCATGGTAGAAAATGCTAAAATTTTATCAAGAAATAGATAGGCATTTGCTTCAGAAAATTTTAAATTATACACCACAGTTACATAGCTGTATGAAATGTAATATTTTTTTCAGGAACAGGACAAAAAGAAGAAAAACAAGAAGAAAATTGTGATAAAAGCGGAACGTGACAATGACTTTGGTGATCTCGCAGCTGCTTCCACGGGAGAATATAACGACTTTTATGATGACGACTTTATATAACGTCATGTGATTTTGGTGAACGGGATTAAGTTGACAGTGGAAAACATACATGTATAACATCCAACCTATGCTGACTGTACTGAAATCAAGCATGACTGAACTCATATTCAGTGAAGCATGCATTGTACAAAATTTTATTTATTTATCATTGAATCAATCTTCAGTTAACCTTTACATATTGTACAGAACTGTTGAATGGAACTGTTAAATATATTTCATGAAATGAAATAGTGGATTTGGCATTAGATTTTGCAAATTTTGGAACCATCTCTGATAAATTCATTTGTCTAAAAGGAAAAATACACTGCAGAATAAAGCTTTTGAGTTGAATGTCGACAGTCCAATTGCTTAATTCCTTAGAAGTGAATGGATTTAGTCATGTTTCACATATAAACCATTACGTTTAATAGTCGTATGTACATTAATACATGTATATCTTAAATCTCTCATTTTAAGAGGTCCAAAGTTTAGGGAATGGCCATCTTTCAGTTGTGTATAAAATTTCATAAACATGAATTCTTCTGAAGATTGTGCTAGACAATGGGTCAAATTTGAAGAAGATGAACTTGACACTTGTAATTGATAAAATTTATAAAGTGGAACTGGACACTATAAATTGATAAAATGTATATGTAAAAGGTGAATATTGAAATCAGTGAGGGGCAATATGAAAACTGTTTATTCTTCTGTCTTCAGTAATTCAGAAGTGAACCAACAATTGGATAGATTGCACGATCAATGTAGACTGATTTCAGCTAACAATACAGGTAACAACATAATTAGAATGGTTTTAACAAAGTAAGTTTGTAGTGTAGCTGACCAATGACAAGATATGAAACTTTGTGGGTTCTGATTTTATTGGAGAAGCAGTAGTCTATGATGTCAAAAAGCCAAGTCTTTATTGTGGGAGTAGGCTACACTGATGGCAAACTAACACTAAACTTCACGATAAAAAAACTTCAATCATCAGCTTCTCCTATTTATGTAGCAATATACAATTTTGCCCTGCATATCATGTTTATGTCTCCTAGTTAATCATCAATTCAATAACCAAGAACATGTTATACATACAAACATTTGCTTAGCTGAAATAGGCTATTGACAAATCAGTTGATGAAACAAGGGTATCAGCAATCTTGTTTAAAGTGTACCTTCATGAGCATGATTACTGTTCATTATCCTCATACATGTATTTTCACGTGAGAGGATGTTTGGTTTCTTACCATGTAATTTCAAAATTTGTCCATTGTCTTTTGGCATTACCTCTGGTGTCATCATTGCCTTATTTAACTTTTCCTTTTTTAGCTCACCTGAACCAAAGGCTCAAATGAAGGGTGTCTATCATCTGTCTATCGTGTTGTCTGTAAACATTGAAAATTTTAAACTTCTCCAAGAGGAATGAACCAATCTTGCCAATCATCTTTGGGGGAAGGGAGTTCAGATGAAGAGCCATGCCCTTTCATGACGTGATGGCTAAGAAATAGTGAAAAATTGATGGCATCGATGGCTTCTACTCAAAATTCCCTGATTGAGAACAAATGGACAAGAAAAGACAAAACTAATATAAATGCTTGCAATGTAGTGTAGATTAAGTTTGTTCAATTCTAGGCCTCCATGATATATGTTGGGCCACAATAGTGGATTCAAGTTTTATCTGTGAGAACATGAGCAAAGATCTTTAAAAATCTCAAGTACAACAGGGCAATTATTACTAGTAGTTATATTGATATATATATGTACAAGCATTCTCGGTGGTGCAGATTCAAGTTTGTACATATCATGGCCTTTGGAATAGGATGGGGTGCCATTGGGAATCAAATTTTTTCCTTGGTATAAATTTGGAAAAATCTATAAAAATCATCTCAAGAACAGCAGGGCACGATTATTTATTTATTTTTATGCAAGGTATTCTCAGGTAGTGCTGATTCAAGTTTGTTGAAATCATAACCCCAAGAGTATATTATAAAGTTAAAATACATCATTGAGGAAGTAAGCAAGATTCCAGTTCCCCAAGGCCAGGACTATTTCTAGGGAATTATGAACATCTAACGATCTAACTTTATATAGGGAAAATCCGTAGAGGTATAATAAATGAAGAAATGAAATATGAAGATAATGAACAGTAATCAAGATCAAAAGTCTATTGAAACAATACAGATTGGGAGCAGAACAAACACGGACCTCTAAAAACATCAGAAGTGAGATCAGGTGCCATGGAGGAATAAGCATCCCCTGTCGACCGTTCACAAGTACCCGCCGTGTTCTCCTTGTCATGATCGGGAAAACGGAAAAATCCATAGATAATTCAGTGTGAAAATCATGACCTAACAATTATGAAATACATTAGTCAACATTCGGCTTAACGATAGATTGTATTTACTAACAAGCTCATTGTATCGATCATAAATTTTGTGAAATGTCGACTTACCGTAGGCTAAACTGTTGACATCTTTGAATCATTAACTTATTTGTCAATAGCTTGCCTCGTTTTAAGATATTGTTCGTAATTTATGATCGATACAATGAGCTTGTTAGTAAATACAATCTATGACCTCCAATTAATTTCTCTTGGGCGCGGACATCAGATACAGGCCCGTAGTAAGCAATTTTTCAGTTGGGGGGGGGGGGCACAGTCATACATTTTCAGTTGGAGGGGCACTATTAACTACCAAAAATTCCTTGACAAGCAAAAAAAAAAAATAAAAAAATAAAAAATAAAAAAAAATAAAAATAAATAAATAAAAAAAAAAGGTCATCAGACGATTTTATTGAGGGGGCACAAGCATATAGTAGCTATGTTTTCTATAGTAGTCTATATGTCGGAAAATTATGGGGGGGGGGCACGGGGGTGCCCCCCCCCCCCCCCCCCCCGGTTTCTACGGCCATGAGATAAAATTCGTGTCAGAAATGAACAAAACTACTATGATCCCAATCATTGAACGTTGAAGAATGTATACATTTTCAATTTTACTGTTAAATTCTATAATGATATAGATTATGATGCTTAAAAGGAAGGTAGACCTTGGGTTAGATTGTGTTAATTATTATTAGATAAAAGTTTTTAATCGTGCAGGTTCGAGGCAATGCATGAAAGGGGAAGGGGGAGGGGTGCATACTGTATGTATATTTAATTCAATTTCTAAATTTAAGCATTCATTTTAGTGTTATTAGGAAAGAAAAGATTTGCTTCCAAAATAAAGTAACAAACTGGAAATTCAAAATATTTTATACATACAGTACGTATACCCTAAAATGATACTGGATTCCATCTCACATACTCTCTCTAATTGGGGGGGGGGGGCTGTCTATAAATCCGCGCAGTTTCTCTCAACTCTCAAGTTCTACTGTGGTCAGTTTATCACCTGTGGGCGCGGTTCACGTGCACAAGCGGCACTTACATGTCTATCATCGTGTAAATTATAAGACTTTCTAAGACTTTACACATCTTAAGTGATCTTCTGACGTTTTCATAACTTTTATCATTAAAGTGAAAAGAGATTCTTTTTTTCACTGTTTTGGGACCTTTTGTGCAAGTGGATTATTGTGTGAATTCCGACCCGTACATGTCTTATGCAAGGTATTGATCGAGGGAGTCTTGTATCAGGCATTCAGAGGAATACACACGAATCCGTGAACTTGCAACGGCGATTGAGGGTATATATATCAAGTGTTAAATTGCTCTGCATATAAACTTCTCATCTTCTATAGGAAGCACTGAAATATTTTCATAGTATCATATTTCCCACTTAGAACAATCTCTTCTTTAATTTTTCGTCGAGAACGACGAAGAACAATGCAGTCTATAAATACTAGATAGTAGATGGAGGTCGCGTCTTTGTTTAGAGAGTGTTTGTGAAGAATCACGCCCTTTGGTTGGAGCAAATAGCACGAGTTTCTTTAGAACAAGTCGTGTACATCTTTTTCCGAGAATTCCAAATTACGCAAGCGCACTTGCAGTTTCATCCCACCGTAACTAGTCAGCCCACGGGCTGACTAAACACCCGAAAACACGATAGGTAGGATCAGGTGCCCAGGAGAAATAAGCATCTCCTTTCGACTGGGCACACCTATTGCGATCCCTATGTATTGATCAGGTAGACGGGGTAGTGGGTCTTTAGTACAAAAAAAGACCTAACAAATGATATGAAACGTATTTACAAATATGGTCATTATAACGACCGTAGAATTTTGCAAAAAGCTGACTGTAAACGGAAATTGTTGATATCCTTGTTTACATCAACTTAATTATCAGTAGCTTGCCTCAGTTTAAAAATTAATCGTATTCAGAACATACAGATTCTTGCGTATTGAATCAGTTGAGAGATAAAAACACTTTTTGCAGGTTATATTGGAGTATTCCTACTTAAATAAGGAAAGTTGACATTGGAAAAGCTTAAGTCATCCTGTTTGTCATACAGTTTAGTTATTAGTTGTCCTCTAATCATATTTGGATATTTTACCGACTTCAATCAGTAAAATATCTAAATATGAAACAGTTGTGGCAGAATCTATACTGTATTATTTCGAGTTAAAAATTCACTAGGGTACATGTATATCGAGTAGACATATGAATGAAAGTAAATATTGTTAATTGATAAAACGTCTTCGATGCATCGAAATGTAGAGCCGAAGGTCAAAGCAAGCGTTTTCTTCTTCTCACGAAGAAGTTTTTTGAATAAATTCTGCTTCAAAGGAACATAAAACAGGTCAGCTAATAAAGGAACACAATTAGTGGCCACTGGAATTCCAACAGATTGTCGGAAGACCTTGTCTCAAAAGAATACATACATATTGTGTATGAGGAACTCCAGCATCTTCTTAATATCAATATCACAGTACTTCTATGTAGAATCCCAATGATTTTTAATAAAGTAATTTTGTAAACAACAAATCACAAAATATGAAAATTTTCTAGTACCATTTTTATTAAGGAAGCAAATGTCAATGATGACAAAAAGTCTGCTCTTTAATTTATCGTGAGGAATGGTTGTATGAAACGTAAAAAGTCATATATTTTGATGCTGTTGATGTTTGAAAAGTTTTGAGATTTTAAATTTTCCAAAAGTTCTTAGGCTTTTTTTTAGAATTCACACTCGATTTACTCCACTTCTTCAATATGTTGTAGCACGATATTTGAAGTTATATCTTTCATCAAATGCATATGTTGTTCATACGTCGACTCCATATATACCAGTGAACTCGAAATTAAAGGCACCAAGAGTCTGCCACATCCGTTTCCTTTTTAGATGTTATACTGACTACAGACAATATAAGAGCCAACGAACAAGTTAAATTTTATGACAAATAAGATGACTTCAGCTTTTCCATCA